CGTTGCATACTCATGTTTCTACAGTAGCTGAAAACAGACAGCAGCACTACAGAATGCGTTTCGTCACCAAGTTCTTCTTGTTCTACTACTAGAATTCAAACAGTGCAGACACCCGTCACTATATTGAATATGTACGTTAGAAGAAGTAGTAGTAATAATATACTGCAGGGTCGGCAAATAAGTTTTGCATCAGAGAAATATTTTCAACCATTAGATCGTGGATGAGAATATAAGCCATAATATTAAGACGCAGACATGCTGTTCAGTTAGCTCAGTTGGTAAGGCACAGGACTTATTTACTGCATTGCAGTAAACAAGCTTCTTGCACTTTTATTTTGTAGGCAAAAACACTAAAGAGTAAGGGATTATGTGAGTAACTTTTGCTGTCATGACTGAAATCTATTTCAGCACCACTATCAAAGCATTTATTTATTTATATTTTTTGCTGCTATCAAAGCACCGTACATACCAGATATTATTGTTGGCGGGCAGTTTTGGCGAGGGTCCGTAATCACAGAGAGAATGAATGTGTTTCCCTTGTCAATGTTTGTATAAACTTTAATTAATGCGTGGCTTATAATGGACTGTAGTGCAGAAACAGTGACAGTGCTTCACACTCTTGGCTTACATTTTCCATGTTGTCTGTCAGTTGCCAAGTCACAAGAATACATGGTTTTACTGAATAATTAAGTAAATATAGTTTCTTAATATACCTAAAGAACCCTCATTTCTTGACATTTCTTGAAGAGACACCTTTTGTGCTGTGTGAGACACCGTAGTTGTCCTATGCTCTGTGAAAGGTTAGGGGGCAGTGGCAGACTGTATGGATGGTTGCAATTCACAACCTCACCACTAGATGCCACTAAATCTTACACACTGAACCCTTAAGTGGCAAACTAGCCAACAAAGCTAGAAAGCAACCAAGACAAGAGCACCTACAGAAACGTTACTGATGTCTAAGTGTGTTATCTAGTGAGTTTGCTAACATCAAGTGGGCATAACACCACAAGACATAGCAAGTAAGCTAATAAGTTATTATTGAATACTACTCTGTCCTGCATCACTTCAGTTCTTTTAGCTCACGGCAACAAGTTAAAGCCAGTCCGATATTTTCTCTTAATCGCTTCCTCCGAGAACATCTTCTTCAGTCTCTTTGCAGCCTCTGCCATGATGTCCATACTGAGAATACTGAGCTAGTTTCTTCCAAAAGAACATAGATTGTATATTATACTTTTTGCTTCTTCTTATAGCTTGCTTTCTGAAGAGTTTTGTTGGGGTGATGTGGTGCTGTAGAGCATTACAGCATTCTCGTGATACATATCTTGCCAATCTTACATACTGTCATCTAGCATGCACACCGGGTCTAGAGTGGCAATGACAGAGACACAATTCTCACTATTACAAATCAGTGTACCAAAATGATTCTGAAGCTGCTATTTTAAGATAAAAATACTACATAATGTTTCTTTAATACTTTGTTCCCACCTTTTTAGCAAACCTCTGTACTGTAATTTCTGCAAAATAAAATCCTGAAGTACATCTACAAAGTATTCATTCATAGATTTGAAGTCATGCTTAGATAGCCAAGATGTCACTGCTCCACTGTACAAATTGAGTTATCATACAGCATGTTAAAATCTACCATCCAATACGTCATACACAATATTCTCTAGACACCATAATACATACCGTAATGATTGTGCTGCTTTAACTATTAATAAACATAATGTTTATTTATGTAGTGTGTTTCCTTTAAAGGCTTTCATAATAGATTGAATGGTTATTCACCTTGAATATGCCAACCCAATCCTTTGGATTTGGTTTGATGAACTGCGTCAGGGTGTAGTGACACTCAAGTGCAGCATGGGGCAGGTAACTCTTCCCCACATTCTGGAAGATGACGTGGGCAAAGTTTGATGTGTCCATGTTGTTGCTTAATAAAGTCCCGTCCAGGAACAGTTCCATTAATCACTCAGCAGTGGCTACACAGGAGAAACAACAAAATATATGATTAGAAACAGAACAGAAACAACTAAAATATCATTCTTTTAAAAGAATGAGAATAAGTGAAGCAAGATATATTAAGACATAAGACAAGCATATTCAATTGTCTTTTCTAACATTTGCCATCCCAATCTGCTGTACTTTCTCATTAGACCCAAATACAGGACTATAAGGCAATCATTTAAGCCTTTAAGGAATGTCAACCAGTAAATGGACATTTCTATCTTTAATTTTAAGTCATATGGTGTTCGTATATGGTATGCAGTATGGTTTCCTTGGTTCAAACTTACATAAAATAAAAACAGCAAACAATTACAAACTTTTAAGTATATTTACAGTAAACAGATGTCTGCTAGTGACAATACAAGATCAAACATGGTTACCTTTGATTGTCTTAATATATAAGCCAATATGTTTAAGCATTGAATAGATTTATTCAGAATATAAATATCATATGAACATTTTTAACCAGCGGGGAGGGGTTGAAGGGTTCCTTGCTCAATATGCAAAGATGACATGTTTGAAGCACATGCAATCTCTGTCCCAATTTAAGAAATGTCTGATTTGAAGGAACTTGCCTACAAAAAAGCAAATTTCAAATCATTTTCAACAAACCCCACAACCCTTTATGCAGGATAAGCGGTTGACAATGGATGGATGGATGGATTTTCAACAAATGTATACATTTGTTGGTAGACTACTGGGCTAATGGACTTGTGTGTTCTCTCCATGTGACACTGTTTAGTTTCACGGGAACTGTCAGGAAGTCCAGCGAGTGACTCTCCAATGATCAGCAAAATAGTAATTTGTCAGTGGGAAACCCAGGAAAGGCCCATGACACCCAAGTTTACAGCACATGTTATGACCTTTAACTACCAAAATTAAAACATATTGGACATTACATTATGGACAAACAAAGCAACAGGTTAATGACATTGTTGCTACATACATTGTCATGTAAAATTTCATGTGTAAATGCTGAAACACATTTACAATGATAACAGGTATGCAAAGGATTGTAGGATATGGTGTCCTCAAGATTCAGTTGACAGCAATTCTTTCCAGCTGTCCCAAATGACAAAATAGACCAATCTTCGGTGGTATAAATAATATCTACTAACAAAGTTGAAATACTTAGGACTGTTCAGGGGATTTTCTTTTCTCAAGTATTTATCTTTCTGATTACATTCCCTTTAGTACCAGACTACATATGAAATGCAATACATAAGGATTAATAGATGGTTTAATTTTATTTTACTGAATTTAGTAATACAGAAATTCCTTTGAAAACACTGATGAAGCACAGCTTAGTTTAACTATTTACACCTGAAACATTAGGACTCTTAGTTATATAACCGGTTACATTCATTCCTATTTGAATCATTATTTGGCAAGATAACTTTACTTTCAGTACCATAAGTAGTATTAACCTAGAATTGCCTGTTTACACCACTCTATATTCAGGTATATTCACCTTAAATACTGTAAGTGCAACCACATTCGAAATAAATTCGATGACAGCAGAGAAAAACTCTCCTTCATACAGCTTACTTTAATAAAAACATGGCCACATGATTAACGCGAGTTCTACTTTAGGGTAGATTTTCCATTTGGGCCTTAGCTCATATAATTTTGTCCGACGTAATTAGGCCTGTAACATTCACTACATTTCCTCGGATGATGATCGGTAACTCTGAACAGTGTTGTCATCTACAGGCATCACCGAAGCTGTCAATCAGATATATAACGCAAAATAATAATTTGGCAAAAGTCGACGGAAATGGCTGAAATAGACAACTACACGGTGCGAGGCGAGGCCTAATGTGAAAACAGTGATCATATCTGGCTAACTTAGCTATGCAGCTAGCTGGCTAGCGTTAGTTACATACTTTACTAGACAAATCATCAGTTAACCGCATGGCAAAGATACATGTGTTCTTAATAAAAGTATAAACTACCGAGCAAAATATTAACTTTGAACTTACTATATAAAACGCTGAGTTAACGTTACAACGCCCTTAACGAAAAACCGAGCAGCTAACTAGAGAGTACTGCTATCAACTGGAGGACACGGTTAGCTAAAGTAAACACTTAACGTTAGCAAAGCTGTCTCTCGAAGTAGCTTCAAAAACACTTGTCAAACGGAGGGAATATCAACAACCGTTGTGTGGTTAGTCACATTTATCAAATAAACCGTATACATACCTAGTTGCCATGTTATACATCAGCTAAAATCCGAATGTATCATAAAAACAATTGTTGACGCAGTTCAGTGCTTTCCCGGACCCTCTTCCTGGAATAATAACAACATTACGTCACTACCGGTAAAAGGGGTCAGCTTGGGAATTGCACGAGACTGAAAAACTGACTTCAGATAATAAAGATTCAAATATCATAGAGTTAAAATTTGGGTCCATTTCAAGTACATAATTTAAAGGATCACATTAGTAACTTACATAACTATAAGCAGTGGTGGAGTGTAACTAACTAAACGATTTTAGTGAAATATAGTGCATTTTAGACTACCAGTAGTTAAAATTAGCTCCACCCCGGCTAACTATAATATTAAATGCTTACACATCAAAAGCAGTAATAATAATGAAATACAGAAATGATGAGTATTTTTACTTTTGATACTTTAAGTACATTTGGCTGATAATATTTATGTAGTTTTACTTACTAGCGCAGTTCTGAATGCAGGAATTTTGTTTCAGTACTGTGTTATTGTAGTAAAGGATCTGAATACTTCTCCCACCAGTGTGGACAGGATCTACAGCCTCACAATCGGAAACCAACCCCTTTCAGTGAGCTTTAGACATTCATATCACTGTTGGGAAATGTAAAGTCATAAACATGCCCACTATAAAAGAAATGTAACAAATCTTTTGATGCAAAAGCATTAACCCTCCTCCTCTACAGCTCAGTGGCAGAATTTAGGAGGCGATGCTGCGCAGGTCTATTCATTGATTGGAGGGATGAACTGCCATTAATGTACGTAACGTAGTCTTACGTCACACGTAAGGTCAAGAGGAAAGAAGCATGGCCGCTGTGTTGAGAAGTTCTCGGTACCTAGTTGGAAGGTCTTGCAAGCATGTTGACTTTGCATTCGGTAAGGAGAACAAACGGAGACAGTGTATGCATTGTGCACGTCGCTGCGCTCACTTTAGAAGCTCAAGTTGTTACTTGAAGGCTCGTTGTGACTTGAAAACACCACCTTTGCTTGAAACGTTGGAAGATAAGTTTGAGTATATTTTTGGTAGACTGGGTTTAGCTGCTGCTGCAGCGGCTTCAGCTCACAGTCTGCTGGTTATGAAGCGTCTCTATTAAAATTAACCCTACGTTTTGTTCGGTCGTTTTTTTCAAAACGCTGAAGGTGAAAATTGTCAGCATATATGCTCTTGTGTCCTACTGTTTCCTGACTTTTTATATAAGGAACATTATGTAATGTCAGTACCGTGCACTTTGTCAAGTAATTTTTTTTGTAGCAAGATGGAAAAGTCTCTTTGTAGCCACTTTAACAGAGGAGCTTCTGAGTGGGGCAAGTGGGCCAAACTATTCGTCCAATCCTTATTATGTATCTTGTGCGTGTGTCCTTCCAGTTTGCACAAGGTATTGTCATACAGTATGTGGGTAAACAAATGGTAGAACACTCTGACTTTATGTTAATACATTATGTCTGAATGTGGATTAGAGACTTAAAATATTTTAATTATTTATAAAGTTAATTAATATCTAAGAGATTACACCTACATTAAACAGTGTTGCGGGAAAATGAGCTAAGAACTAATGACAAGCAGACAATAATTTTTTTTCCCTGAGACAAAGATACTGTGTCTTATCATTGATCCATTTCACTGTTATGTTGTAGTCTCCACAAGGTCTATGGCCTCAAAGACACAGGTCGGGTTTGTTGGTCTGGGCAATATGGGAAACCCAATGGCAAAGAACTTGCTGAAGCACGGATACCCAGTCATTGCTACAGATGTGTTCCCGGAGTCCTGCAAGGAAGTGCAAGAGCTGGGTGCTCAGGTGGGAGTGTAAATATACGCAAGCCTTTTTCATTTTAAAAGTTTCCACCTGTTCTCTTCTTATCCTGTGCTTTTGTGTGTTTTTCAGATTGTGGATAATCCTGCTGAGGTAGCGGACAAGGCTGACCGCATTATCACCATGCTCCCCTCTAGTCCCAATGTCATAGACGTGTACACTGGACCAAATGGCATTCTCAAGTACACTTGGATTTTTCTTTCAGTACATGCAAAATAACCTCAGGGATTTAAGCCTGATTCTAAATTGTCTAAAACTTTTCTCAACAGAAAGGTGAAGAAGGGCTCCCTACTCATTGACTCCAGTACCATTGACCCAGCTGTTTCAAAAGAGATGGCTGCTGCTGCTGAGAAGATGGGAGCAGTTTTTATGGATGCACCTGTATCAGGAGGTACATTTTACACTTCGATAAAATTTCGACATCACGATAAAATATACAATACGATAAATATTTGATTGTATCTTTTCATGTGACAACACTAAAGAAATGACACTTTGCTACAATGTAAAGTAGTGAGTGTACAGCTTGTATAACAGTGTAAACTTGCTGTCCCCCCTAAATAACACATCAAACAGCCCTTAATGTAACCCAATTAGCCATTTTCCCTCCCCGGTGTCATGTGACTCGTTAGTGTTACAAGGTCACAGGTGTGAATGGGGAGCAGGTGTGTTAAATTTGGTGTTATAGCTCTCACACTCCCTCATACTGGTCACTGGAAGTTCAACATGGCACCTCATGGAAAAGAACTGTCTGAGGATCTGAAAAAATAATGGTTGCTCTACATAAAGATGGCCTAGGCTATAAGAACATTGCCAACAGGCCTCACCATGGTCGACCACAGAAGTTGAGTGCACGAGCTTAGCGTCATATCCAGAGGTTGTCTTTGGGAACTAGGCGTATGAGTGCTGCCAGCATTGCTGATGAGGTTGAAGGGGCAGTGGGTCAGCCTGTTAGTGCTCACACCATATGCCCGTACACTGCATCAAATTGGTCTGCAACAACCAGAAGGAAGCCTCTTCTAAAGATGATGTACAAGAAAGCCTGCAAACAGTTTGACAAGATGAGCAGACTAAGGATGGATTACTGGAACCATGTCCTGTGGTCTGATGAGACCAAGATAAACATATTTGGTTCAGATGGTGTCAAGCGTGTGTGGCGGCAACCAGGTGAGGAGTACAAAGATGAGTGTGTCTTGCCAACAGTCAAGCATGGTGTTGGGAGTGTCATGTTGGGGCTGCATGAGTGCTGCCGGCACTGGAGAGCTACAGTTTATTGAGGGAACCATGAACACAAACATGTACTGTGACATACTGAAGCAGAGCATGACCCCCTCCCTTCGGGGACTGGGCTGCAGGGCAGTATTCCCACATGATAACGACCCCAAACACACCTCCAAGACGAACGCTGCCTTGCCAAAGAAGCTGAGGGTAAAGGTGACGGACTGGCCAAGCAAGTCTCCAGACCTAAACCCTATTGAGCATCTGTGGGGCATCCTCAAGCAAGGTCTCTAACAGCTCCATGATGTCGTCATGGAGGAGTGGACAAGGACTCCAGTTGCAACCTGTGAAGCTCTGGTGAACTCCACGCCCAAGAGGGTTAAGGCAGTGCTGGAAAATAATGTGGCCAAACAAAATGTTATATTATAATAATACACTCTGGGCACAATTTGGACATTTTCACTTAGGGGTGTACTCACTTTTGTTGCCAGCAGTTTAGACATTAATGGCTGTGTGATGTGTTATTTTGAGGGGACAGCAAATTTACAGCTGTATGCTCACTGCTTTACATTGTAGCAAAGTGACATTTCTTGTGTTGTGACATGAAAAGATATAATCAAATATTTACAAAAATGTGAGGTGTGTGTATACTATAAATATGTGTGTGTATATAAAAATAACATTTGCTTTCTGATCTTGAAAAACATACACTGCTGTCTGGTTATCAGGTAGCCTTCACCTAGCTAAAAATAGTGCAGCCTAATACAAAGGCCTTGCAATAAATTTTTTGACTGTGTTCATTGTGCAGGCCATTGTGGCACAGTGAACTGTATTGCATTATGCTGAAAGGTGTTTACAACATTTAGTCCACCTTCACTGAAATAAATGGGTAAACATAAATTGATGACATGATAGCATCACGCTGCTGCTGCAATTGATGTGAATCTCCCGTTCCACCACATCCCTAAGGTGCTTTATTGGATTGAGATCTGGTGATCGTGGAGGCCATTGGAGTACTTTGAGCTCATTGTCATGCTCAAGAAACCAGTTTGAGATGATTTGCGCTTTGTGACATGGTGCATTATCCTGCTGGAAGTAGCCATCAGAAGATGGGTACACTGTGGTCTTAAAGGGATGGAAGGGATTATGCTGCTCTTTGCTAAAGTTACAGTTGATAAAGAGCACCAACAGTATCTATTTAAGGAGGAGGAGCAGGAGCAGCTTCTTCCTGCACAAATGTTCCCCTAGCTGTAAAGTGTGTGCTGCCTAACTTTCTTGGGGGTCCGTTTGTTTGAACTTAGCGTTGTCAACGTCTGGACAGCCACTTTCTTTGGATTGATTTTGGTCCATTTTACAGCCTGGCCCTAAAGATTAGTAATGATTTATATGCTTCCTTCCTGTGGTAGTGCACATGGATTACAGTTGTCCAGCTTTCTGCCTTGAACATGTGTGTGTGTGTGTGTGTGTGTGCGCGCGCGGTGACAGCAGTTTAACTAGTGCAAACTGAAGTGTATGTCATACTTTGATACATCAAGTCAATCACCAGGATTTAGCTTCTTTTTGAACCTCTCCAGTGGTCAGACAGTAATCAAAAGAAGTACCGTGGCATGGGTAGTGACCGTTTAATCCAGTGTGGTTAAATGTTTAAACATAAAAGCACACATGACAGTGGGGACATAATTGAGTCAGCATGTGTCTGATAGTTGGTTCTTGGTGTGAGAGGACCAGATGAGATAACTGCCATCTTTCATTTTTCCTTAAGCTGGAAAATAGGCTAGAGTTAAAAGGTCTGTAATAACTGAAATGGAAATGAGTGAACCTGTGGTAGAGAAGACAAATGTTTAAGAAAAGACTTTTGTTTATGGGAATTTCCAGGAAGAGGATTGTATTTGGGACATCTGTAATGGGGAAAATTGATTATGTTTGATGAAAATGTTTGCTGGTTAGGTGTTTGTTAGATGGGTTTTTTCTTTCTCCAAAATACTCAACATTTAGGCAGTAGTCTGTGCTTCTTGCTTCTCATTTTAAATATGTCAGTGAAGGTTTAGCATTTGCACAGAGAGGAATGTTTCGGCTGTAGAAAATCCACAAACCTGATTCCTGACAGTTTCCGTGTTTGTTCCACTTGTGTACAGATCTTTATGGTTTTGTACTATGAGGGTATTTTCTATCTTGTCTTTTTTTAGCTTGTTTTAGAAATGAAAGAGTAGATTGGGACACAACTTCATATTCCTAATTTCATATTTCAACTATGCAAATGATCAATCATAGATTCAGTCAAAATTAAGTTGTTTATATTTTATTTAAGTATGCACCTCCCATATGATTACCTAAATTATTCAACTTTAAATTTATTTTCCATCTGTACTGCATGTCACCTCTTGGACAAGTCATTAACTGGCACTATCAGTGAGTTTTATGCAGATAACTTGATAACTGGCTTGAAATTCTCGATCACCAAATCAGAAGTTGAAGTTATCTGTTGCAACAAAGCTACTGATCATACAGTATTTTGATATATTGTTACTGTGAATCTGTGTCACTTTGATGTTTTCCTTTTTACATCTTATTTCTTTTTTATGGCCACTATTCTGTATGTTTGAAACCATTAGCAGCGTTATTTCTCACCGTGACTGTTGTCATTCCCACCTGTCTCCAGCAGCACAGTCATTCTAGATTCCAGTAGAAAATGCTGCTGGTCATGAGGACTAGGGAGGGGGAAACGTATTACGCCCTTCTTGGCCTCTCGCCATTAGCTTCCTGTAAACTTTAGGATTAATTATAAGACTATGTTGGTTAATTTCTTGGCACCCATGTGGCTTGCACCTGGTTATTGGATATCACTGAGCTTTAACCACATGTGAACCTGAATGCACCATCAAATGTACAGATCATGATACAGCAGTTCTTAAATCTAGACAAGGGCTGACCAAACTTTTTCCAGCTGTGTCCCAAAGCTTTTGACTGACTTACCCAGGGAGAACAGGCTATAGGTTATTGTCCTCATATTTTTTTAAAGACATACTAGACAGACTTGCTTTGAATACCTAAATGGCAGTGAGTGTTCCCTATTAATTGGTACATCACCTTAATCTGGTATATTCAAGTTTTTAAATTTTATACTTTTGTATGTAGCATAACTTTAGATGCAATACTGTTTTGTATTTTTATTTGAGGCACATCGTAATTTTGTTTTGATTAATTGCTACATAATCGGTCCCTTACATTCAAAGTGAAAAGTCCCTGTAGTTCCAAACCACTGATGGAAATTCCCATTTTCACTCCAAAACTACAAGTCATATAGACATGTCCACAGTTAATTTCTTCTAGATTATGCTCAGAGACAAATCTGTTCTTTAGATATGTTTTCCAGCCAAATGAACAAAGTTTCTTTGTATTAGAGAGTCAATAAAGAGCTGACAGGAAATGGGTTTAGAGACGTTGAGAGCAACATGCAACAAAGATGTGTAAACATATTTATTTCATTATCTCCTGATTGTAGTTTGATAGCCCTTTTATGTGTATTTCTTTGTTGCCACATGAAAAAAATTTTCCGTACTTTTGGATTATAAAATGATGGTAACTGCTATATGATTAACAAAGATTACTTTGAGCTAATTCATATATTTGCCTTTTGTTCAGATAAAACTTTCCGAAATTACTACCAGTCTTGCACATGGTTCATTGAATGTAAGCACGATTTCCCATTCCCAGGTGTGGGTGCTGCCAGTTCGGGTAAACTGACTTTTATGGTTGGAGGAGCCGAGGAGGAATTTACTGCAGCCAAAGAACTTCTCAGTTGCATGGGAGCTAATGTGGTGTACTGCGGTCAAGTTGGAACTGGACAGGTATGAGTAGATATTTAATTTTTCTTTTTTTGCATGTGTAAAGATAAGAATTCAAGTGTCTTTGTACTTGGTTTGTCACTTGTTTCATGAAATCCAAAATTTAAGTTAAAATGATGTGGTGTCAAGGTTATTGAATGCTATTTTTCTGTCATCTTGTTATAGGCTGCTAAAATCTGTAACAACATGCTTCTAGCCATTGGAATGATAGGGACTTCAGAGACAATGAATTTGGGAATCAGGTGAACACAATCTTGGTTACAAATAACAGCATATTTGCAGTCATTTTAAATCATAGCGATAGATGCAGCAGCAATACACTTTGTGTATCAACATGGAATTTGTTTTCACTCAGGCTTGGTCTTGATCCTAAACTGTTGGCCAAGATCCTGAACATGAGTTCAGGTCGATGTTGGTCCAGTGACACCTACAACCCTGTGCCTGGTGTCATGGAGGGAGTCCCATCTGGGAATAACTACCAAGGAGGCTTTGGCACCCAGCTGATGGCTAAGGTCAGTTTGATGACCAGTTGAACTATACTAAACTTTATTTGCTCCTTCTGCAATTGTGTTTAAGTATTAGTGTTACCACAAAAAAATAATCTTTAGGTTTGTACATGTTGCCATGTCATCACAAATATGAGGAAGTAAAGTATATTTTATACCTTTTAATAGTTATGTTTCATCTAATTGGTGTGGAGAAATAATTAGTTCTTATTAGCCCTAATATTTTTGGAACAAAACGATACAAAAATGTGTTTGTTTTGCTTTAAGTGGATTGTTGTCATTCATATACTCTTTGTATGTATGTATCAGATTTATCATGAGACTTATTTCTGTGTCATGTGTCCTGCATGTGACGGGGAGTTTGAAATACTTAAAGAAGAATCTCTGTCACACCACTTAAAATAATGCAGTGAACTGTTCAGCTGTAGTTTATGTTCCTCTTAAAAGGGAGTCATGCCCATATTATTACAACATAAAGAAAAATTCTCTGGTGTGTGGACTGGTGGTTTTGGTTTTAGAGTTTAATTTTCAGCTCTGTTGGTTTCTCTAATGTATGTTTGCTTTTCTTTTTCAGGATCTAGGCCTCGCACAGAACACAGCCACCAACACAAAGACTCCTGTTCCCCTCGGCTCCTTAGCCCATCAGATGTACCGTATGATGTGCGCACGTGGTTATGCCAATAAAGATTTCTCCTCCGTATTCCAGTTTCTGCGTGATGAGGAAGGCCAGTAATGTCAGCCCCGTCCACAGCCTTGCCAGGCCAGGCGCTTCACAGGACTAACATAGTGTACTTGGTGCGCATTTTGCCCCAAGGACCTTTTTTTTTTTTTTCACTTCTCTCTTCAAAGTTGTGAAAGGCATGATTCCTACAGAGTTCCAACACAAAGTGACAGATCATGTGTGCACTTCTCACCTTTAGGAAATCATGTTTCCTGTGTGATCTAGCCTTTTTTTTTTTTTAAATGCAACACTCCTTTCAGTTTTTAGAAGCAAGTGAATTGTCAGATACATGGAGGATCCAAAAGATCAGCAGACTGTCGAGCAGTGGTAGCTCTGCAGAGGTTGCTCTTAAAATAAATCTGGGAATCTGTGGTGTTAAGAAGACAACTCTATTAGGCTAAACAGCTGCAATACAGTTTAGTCTCCACATATTTGTCTATTGTTTGTGATCATTTCTTAATGCTGCTGTGTTTGGGGGGGGGGGGTTTGTTTGTTTTTTGTTTTTTTTCCTGTTTATGGCCATTATTTCTCTTGACATTGGAAATGTTACTTTGAGATAAGAGTGTTAACATATGATAACATATCCTAGGAAATAAAGACAAATTGTGATGTCTTAAACTTGCTTTAAATTTCATCCACTTTTCTTTTCTGGATTTGGATGTTAACTTAAATATTAACAGTCATTTTTAAAACGAACATTTAGTTATCGATTGCTGCTGATTTGTTTTAATAATGCCATTATTTCAGTTATTGTTGGAATTTCTGTCATAGAGTCAAAGGGGACAGATTTTTATGCAGTCCACAGACTTGCATGTAAATGCTGCCAAACACCAGACAGAGAAGGGAAGGATACTAATTCTGGCAAGGAAAATGGCTATTTAAATTCTAAATGCATTGTATTAGGACACCCACTATACAATTTTCTCTCTCTGAGCACTAAGTTAAATAACTCCAAATGTTGTAGTTTGCATAAAGGATGCCACTGATTCCGTAGTCACGATAAAACAAAACTCTGCCTTTAAGAGGTTGGCTGCAGAGCCGATGCAGTGGTGGGTTGCAAGAGACACTGTTGTTCCGAACTAAAAGGACACAACTTTTTTTATCCAGTTGGAATTACATGATCCAACATGCACAATCCAGATGCTAATCTAATCTCTAATGAAGATTTTAGTTTTTTTTTTGTTTTTTTTATTGCATATTGCCTACTGCTCCACAACTTTGAAACAAAGTTGTGACAGACAGTCGCATCATGCAGCCAGCCTCAGCCATTTCTCCCCACTTAGGCCAGACCAGGAGGCCGGCATGTTTCTGATCTAGTTTGCCAAGAGCCACAGAGGGGCCAAGGTGCCATAGGTCATGCGATCACAAGACAAACCCATAAAAAGTCCATTAAGCACTGTAGGCTAAGAGCTGTGTTGTCATCTACTTGATAGGTACTGCAAACAGAGCCGCACTTTGGTCTCAGGCCTGCAGCAGAATGTGACACAGCCTGACATCATCATCCCTCAGCTTATAGCTTCTCCAACACTTTTTAATAAGCTTTGCATTCAGCAATCTTTTTGTTTTTATTTGTGTTTGGTTCTTTATAAAACAGTGAATCAGCAATCTATTTGTTTATATTTTTAAACCCCGTGATGCACATTTATACTATGCAGTTTTGCATGTAGTTGTGCAACTACAGTAGGCTATATGCTACATCTCACCAAAAAGACATTTTTTTAGGTTGCAAATGTTAACTAGTGCATTGTGATAGGGTGATATTTTATCCTAGGTGACTTTTCATAAAATATTTTCTGTTTTTTTTAGTTTCAAATAGTTCTTAATCCATATTGTACCCTATAGTGCAACAAGGACGAGTTTTTTTTTTTTACATTTCACATTGTTAGAAATGGTTACATTTCTAAATGTAACCATTTAGAAATAGTTACATTTCTAACTGCCTTGTCCAATGTAACTGCAGTATGTGTTATTGGCCTGTTGTTAAAAAAGAAGAAGAAAAGTACCTATTTAAAATTTGTAAAACACGTTCTGCAAACATACAAGACCAAACTTATTGCAAATCCAATTATTGTCAAAATACAAACTCCAGCAAGCCATTAGTCGCTGAACCTCAACATGTAGCCTATCCTTTTAATTAATTTGATTACAATTTAACAAAATGTTTTATGTCGTATTTATTTGTATATTTCAGACTGTATGTGCAAATTTTTGCGTGTAGGCCTAATAATTAATGAAAAGTGTAGATTATCGCATCATTATTGTTTGGCCTTCAACCACTGTCACTAATAACAGGTTACCATAAAAAAAACTTCAGTGTGTGTGTGGAGGGCATATTGAAATGGAAATAAAATTAACAAATCAAATGCTTCTTTATCAACAACTCGTGACCTATTTGGTTTTTCGACATGGACCATCTTGTTTAGCTGGCTTAACCACTCATATAACATTTCCTACCAGCTGCTATATGTTTAGAAAATTAGCTGCCCTCTCATGTGTGTGACAGCGTGCTGAGGTGATTCCTTTTCAGCTAACACTCACTTTTTCAAAATCGGTTTCATGCAAAGTTTAAGAAAGTGGTAAATTCTTCTATCCAAAATGGAGTGAACTAGATGAGTATAGGCTAAATAAAAAAGCCGTTTACTCTGTCTACAGTCGTTTATCATTACAATGCAATAAAAACAAAAATCAAACATGAACCTATTCAGTAACGTAAAACATATTGCTTTTTTTCTGAAATGTAGACCACTATTTGCTCTTGCCTACAAGCTATGAACTTGGGCCATAAAGATTTACAGCCTCAAAAGGTGGGAAAACTCTATTAAACTTTATTAAAAATTAAAAGGTGCTCAAATTTAGTTAGGGATACATGTCTCTGCTTCTGTGGTCTCACCATAGAAATGTAAAACAAAAAAAATATTCTGATAATTAAAACAGTATTTTGTTTGAGACTAATCTTAACCCTCACGTCGCACCTCTTCAGTCTTTCACAGTGCTGCTACACAGCTGAATGTGTAGAATGAATGAGTGCTGGTAGTGTCATATATATAGGCTAAACCGTATACAACATTTTATTTGTATTCCTCCACTACAGACGCATGCTCACTAAGGATTTGTTTAGGCTATATACCGTATGTGCCCCAAATGGTAGACTGTTTTTAGCTTTGCGTTCTACATAGGAGAAAAGAAAGAGCCCACCTATCGAGGCATTTTACGCAGAATAGGCCTATAGAAACATATGACGATGAACGGTTTCTTTTACTCACTTTACTCTATAATTCATTTTGAGCTTTGATTTTGACCATGTAATGCCAGTCTATTTTTTTTTTAATCGCCAAAGACAAGAGAAGTTAATGAAACTTGTCTAAAAACCGAGCACAGTCTGTCGATGAAATTCCCTCTTCGGCATTTAGCAGTGTTTTCTCTTCGGGTTTCCTGGCGTGAAGTGTCTATTTGGCCAGACTGTAACTTTCAACTTGACCTTGGCCTCCAGCCGCGTCTAACCAGTAGAGGAAGATTGCAGCCAAAATGTGGCATGCTTTTTGGTATTTTGTGGACATTGAGCATTTGTTTGGATTAACACATTGCAGTGCCAAATGTGAGGATGACTAAGAATGAATGCTGTTGTAATATGCTTTTAAGATCTACAGAACGTCAGTCTGTTTTTTTTTTTTAAACTGCGTAATCGCTATGCTTAAAAGCGTCACTGGCCTTAAAAGCATATGTCATCTAGTTCTCTCATGCCCTGTATTACACAATTCATCAAATAAGCGTATTGTGATGGCCCCGTACCATACACAAGATGGCCTCTGCATCACAGTTTCAATCAGTTTGAGACTGCAGACTTTGTTCACTTTCTTTGAGGGGGGGGGGGGAATCCTCCTACGGCATCTTTTTCTAAAACATGGTTATGATGTACAGTAGGCTGCATCTTCACAGATATGCATTATCTGAGATCTGGACGTCTATCATCTCCTTTGCATATCACGTGTTTGGCCCTGGCCAATAACCTTGCGATCTTTATGCACTCAGGCGTGTTGGT